GTGTGTGTGTGTGTGTGTGTGGGGCACAACAAACTGTGTGTCCATATTAGGTCCATCAAGTGGCCGCCAAACGAACTTGAACTTCCGCTCGTTATTGCCATTATTGTTTAGTTATGCAATGGCCTCTGTAATTGCGATCTACACATGCGTAATGAGTGTGGGGGTATTCGGAGTGTTGTCGAACACGCTTCACTGAGCCGGCCAAAAGTTTGCTAATTCCATTTTGGCTTCTCGTTCCAGTGCAGATCCAACAAAGCGCGCGAATAGCTGAATATATAATGAGCAGAGCGGCCCACAACGAACGACAATAAGCCAGACACGAGTCGAGAGCAGCAGCAGCAGCAGCGAGAGCAGTAGCAGGCAGCGGGAGAAGCGGCATTAGAAGATCTTTCACAAGATTATTTACTAGCGGAGCTCGCTCCGTCCACCAAGATGGCACGTCACATAATGGCCGTGTGTGTGGTGTGCCTGCTGTGCGCACAGCGCCTGCACTGCCAGGATCATATTGGAGACATGCTGGTCACGCAGCGCACAGACATAAAGCTGAATGCACGCCTAGCCTACGGCAATCTGAGTCCATCCAGTGAAATAACCACCGATCAGAGGCAGCTAGCCGATGAGGACGATACCCAGAACTACAGTACAAGTCCGCCCTACAGGAGACATAAGCGACATGCCAGCCACGAACATGAACACGACCACTCATCGCCGCATACACAAGTCCCGCAGATCACCGAACACTTCCTGCAGCAGCTGATGCAGCAGCAGACGTTAAATGCCAGCAGCTTTCGGAGCCTGCTGCAAAAGCTCGGACTGCAGCAGCTAGTCAGCAGCAACGAAAGCGTGAGTTACATTCGTTGTAAATTTCAAGTGTTATCCTTATTAATCCTCTTTTATATTTGTAGTGCGTGCCAGTTGAGCGTCTGGTGCATCATGTGCAGCCGCATGATCTCAGCCATCTTGGCGACCACGCTGCGGAGCATCGCCTGCTGCTAACCAACTGTACGCTCTCACCCAATGGCAACAGCACCAGCATATCCTGCGCCCCACTAGACACCTTACCAGCACCCCAGCCGCATACAGACTACGAACTCAACGAGCGAGACTTGTTGTATCTGTGCCCAGTTCTGCTGCACGAACTCGCGACCAGCAGCGGTGGGTGCATAGAGCCCGATGTACTCTCTGAAATTGATAAATACGAAGCGAGCCAGAAAGATGACATTTTTTATGGTAGGTACTAAAAGAAAGATGCAGGCTGTAGAGGGAACATTTAAACAGTCTTGGCTATAAACCTTATCATTAAAAGTATAATTCTTTTAAGAACAGGAATCTTCCGTAAACGTATAAGTGATAAGCATCAACAGCTGAGTCTATATACTAGGCCCGTCTATCTGTATTCGGGTAAACGACAGTGTCAGTAAGAATTAAAAAAAACTATAATATATGGGAGCAAATATCCGAAATACTAGTAACAATTTGTATTACCCTCTTGAAGGGTACAGAAAATCCGAATTTTTGTTGTCGTCCAGGTCAGTCTGCTTGTCATATAGCTGCTATAGATCATATCGGTTGTATTCCGAATTTTTGTCTTAAATACTTATTCGTGTTTTAATATATTTTGTATCTCCTCAACTTCTAAACTCCTTTCACAAGCAGAAGCATGTTTACATCGTGCTGTTCAAATAAAAACAATTGCTCAAAACTAAGGTTCTTATATGAAACAACTTCTAAAGATAAATGTTCCTTTCTGTTTTGATAAAGTAGCTAATTTAGCTTCGAGATTAATTAAATTAAAATGAATTTCTATTGTAGTGTGGATTTATGCCTTTACATCAGTGTTTGCCTGCGGAATTTTGGGCCTTGTGGGCGTGGCCATAATACCATTCATGAACTCCCGCTATTACAAGCACATAATTCAGTATCTGGTATCGCTGGCCGTGGGCACCATGACCGGAGATGCGCTGTTGCATCTGCTGCCGCACGTAAGTAGCCACAATATTTAATTAATGGAACATTCTAATATTTGACGGTTTATTTTAGTCGCTGGCCGGCCAGGACGAGCACGGCATGATCATGAAGGGGTTGGGCTGCCTGGGCGGCATCATCTTCTTTTATGTGACGGAGCATGCGCTGACCATGATATCTGAGTGGCGCAAAAGCGTTGAGAAGAAGGAAACAAAGAAACCTTCTCGCGCCAAGGTCATGCGCGATCCGGACTCTTCGGTAAACAACTCTGTGGCGGGCGACAGGATGTGCAAGCAAAAGTATAGTTCTTATCCGTATTGCTATGACGAGATCACGGTGAACAATAAGCAGGACGTATGGATGCATTTGCCGGATGATGGCCCAGCGTCTGCTGTGGCGGCATCTGCTGCTGGCGCTGGCGGCGATGCATCCAGCGGCGAGTGTAGCAATCGGCGCTGTGACAAGGCTGAGCATGAAGGTTCCAATGAGGCGGTAGCGGCTGCACAATCTCTGCTCTCCACCTCACACAACAACTACGCAGAGATGAACCACCACCACCACAATCACAACCACAACAATCATCAACAACAGGACAGCAGCAATACGGTGACAACTGAATTGGACGGCAATGCTGCAACGGCAAATGGAGGCAAGGATAAGAATGATCATGTGACTGTCATATTGCGTGAGCATGAATCCTCCCATCACGGACACAGCCATCGCCATGGACACGTGCATTCGCCACCAGAGACACTAAGCGCAGTTGCCTGGATGATTATAATGGGTGACGGCTTGCATAATTTTACCGACGGCATGGCTATTGGTGCCGCTTTCGCCGAGAACATTGCCGGTGGCTTCTCCACTTCTTTGGCTGTCTTTTGTCATGAGTTACCGCACGAACTGGGCGACTTTGCCATTCTCATGAAGGCCGGTATGTCGGTCAAATCGGCTGTGTACTATAATCTGTTGACGGGAGTGCTCAGTTTTATCGGCATGATCTTTGGCATTGTGTTTGGCCAATCGCAGGAGGTGGCCCAATGGATGTTTGCCGTGGCAGCAGGTCTCTTCATATACATTGCGCTGGTCGATATGGTGAGTGGTGTGTGTGTGTGCATCGATAGATCAAATAACTTAAACGTCTTTCCATTTGCAGATGCCTGAGATTTCTGCTGCTCACAAGTCGCTGGCGCAGTTCATGCTGCAAATTGTGGGCATGCTCAGCGGTGTACTCATTATGCTATTCATTGCCATCTATGAGGGTCAATTGATGAACGCATTCGGCTCAGCGCCGGCCAGTGCAGTGCATCATCAGCACGTGCACTAAAAAGGAAGAGAAAAAAATATAAGAGGATCGACTGTCTTTAGAGTCAAGCAGAGAATCTTTTTAGAGAGTATTGCGTGTATTTTTTCGAGTCTAGGGTTTTTAATTTTGTATAATTGTAGTAGTTTATGTTATGTTATTTACCTCAGCCACTCTCACATACATACATACACACACATCCAAACAGATAATGCAAGTCATTAAGTAATAGACACCCAATAAGATTCGCATTTGTTAAACAGTTTATGAAACACACACAAACATTTGTTAACTGCCAGAGTTGTCCGCAAATTGAATTTCGTTCCTAAATGTCTAATGCCCGATTTGCGTTCGTTTTGGAATTAGCTTGAATTGATTTACACACAAAAACACACACACACAAGATCTACACACAACAAACACACATTTAATGTAAGAAACTTTCAATGTGCATAAGCTATAAAGTGATTCTGAATTTAAAAACGATAAAATAGAAAGCAAAAGAGAAATTTGCTTAAAAAAAAGATGAAACTGAACACAACAAAGAAACATCAATATCAAGATGTGAAACAATAATTGAATTGAAACAAAGCGTGCACTGATGAATATAAAATATAATAGGATAGCTAAGAAGATCATATAAACGCTATAGCTATAAGTCTTATCTTATACACAAGATAAAACCCATCTTAAATTTACAATTCGCAATTACATATTGTAGCGTGTATATTATTAAGCAACAATTATATACACATAGTTTTTTGTATTTTGTAGTCTGTAGGGTGCGCACGTTCATTTCACGGCTAAGTTCGAGAGTAAACATTCTATGAAACAAATTATATATATATATGTATATATATATATAAATTATTTTTGGCAGTACTTATCCATTTGTATGTACTACCTTTTGCAATCCACAAAAATTATTTAAACTTAATTTATTATTATCGTAGTACGAATTATTAAGGCATGCTCATATTACCTCTTTCTTTTGGCACCAACGTTTGTTTATCTTTTTTTCCTTTTGTTGTAATAAACAAAATGACTTGTGTTTTTGCAAACAGCGTCTTTTGTTGTTAAAATCTTTATTTAAAAGCGCACAAACAACTAAACGTTAAGTGATTGTGATTAAATATTGAATTGAGTAACTAACAATTGTAAAATGATGCGCTAGCCTGAAGGAAGGGCTCTCATAAACACCGACATTTACACCAAGCTAAGTATCACCCTTATAAGCTGAGCAAACTAATAATATGTCATAAAGCCCACACTATTTGCTAATGAGGCAGTAAAACCTATTTGACTAGACGTTAACTTAAAAGTAAACACTACTTTAATATGAAACAATTTTTGAAAAAAACAAAACTACTTTGGTGATATCAAGCAAAAGGCAATTGAAACGAAATAAACGTACGAGTATGATAATATATGTAAGTCTATGTGCAAGAGTCTTGTAATAAATCATTCGAAACGAACATTTTTAGATATATTCAATGTTCTAGAATGCATTTTCACAAAGACGAAAATTTTTTACCTTGCAACGTAAACACTTTTTAAACTTTCCAAATAAATGTTTTCCACCTCACAATTTTCGGGCCAATATCTATACTTCAAACGCGCGCACTCTTAATGACACTGTTGCAATCGATAACTTTCGATAGCTGTATTGTATTTATGTTTTCTAAGGGGAGCTCGGCAACTCTTGGCATGTTGTTGGTAGAGCAGGCCAACAATAGTGGCGCTGTCAAACTGTGAAAGATGCAAGCGACCGGGTCGAAATTACTGCTGCCAACAATTTGCAAATTTCTGGCTATATTCTGCATAATTATTACACAGAACCATGTGGCGGCCAACGTGAATCCCAGTGCTATCGGCGTGCATAGACGGTTTGAGTACAAGTACTCGTTTAAGCCGCCATATTTGGCACAAAAAGATGGCACCGTACCGTTCTGGGAATACGGGGGAAGTAAGTAGACGGGGGCAGCTCCACGTCAGTTGTTTTGGCCGTCTTCAGGCCACTTGCGATGCGTGCCATGGGTGCGAGCGAGACGGCAAATAGCGGCCAGCATCAGACGAAACATCGAACGCAACGCAACGCCAAAGCAGCAAAGTGTACACGCAGGCACTTTGTTTAAATGCAAATTGTGGACAAACTAAACGTCACCTGTTGCTCTACATTTCAGATGCCATCGCCAGTGCGGAAAGCGTACGCGTGGCGCCCTCGTTGCGCTCACAGAAGGGCGCCATCTGGACAAAATCACAGACCAACTTTGACTGGTGGGATGTGGAGATTGTCTTCCGCGTAACGGGACGTGGCCGTATCGGAGCCGACGGTCTGGCCTTCTGGTATACTACGGAGAAGGGTGACTATAATGGTGCTGTGTTTGGCTCCTCCGATCGCTGGAACGGCCTGGCCATCATCTTTGATTCGTTCGACAACGACAACAAGCACAACAATCCATACATCAGCGCTGTGGTCAACGATGGCACCAAGCAGTACGACCATGCCAATGATGGTACGACGCAGTTGCTAAGCGGCTGCTTGAGAGATTTCCGTAACAAGCCCTTCCCCACGCGTGCTCGCATCGAGTACTACAACAATGTGCTCACCGTGCTCATCCACAATGGCATGTCGAACAACAATGATGACTACGAGATGTGCCTGCGCGCCGATGGTGTGCAGCTGCCCAAGCACGGCTACTTTGGCATTTCAGCGGCAACTGGCGGCCTGGCCGATGATCACGATGTGTTCCACTTTTTGACCACATCGCTGCATGCTGCCGGCCAAGTGCAGGAACCACCAAAGGTGGACAATCAGGAGAAGTTGACGCAAGAATACAAGGAATACCAGGACAAACTGGAGAAGCAAAAGCAGGAGTACAAGAAAGACCATCCGGATGAAGCAGTAAGTAACACACAATCAAATGCCCCGTATCAGCTGTCAGAGCTCAAGGCGTGTGGCAATAGGCTTTCATAAATTATGCTTAATCCAAGTTGACAGCCAATTGTGTGATAGACAGTCGTTATCTGTGCCGCTGATAGTATGCGTTGAGCTAACGTGGGTTTTTCTTTTGGCACTTTATTACAGCACAAAGACCAAGAGGAAGACTGGGAAGAGTTTTACGAGTCGGAGAATCAGCGCGAGTTGCGTCAAATCTGGCAGGGTCAGAGCCAAATAGCTGAGCATCTGCGTGAATTGTCGCGTAAGGTTGACGAGATCATTGGCCGCCAGGAGAACACGCTGTCTCTAGTCTCGCGTGGCCTGGCTGCCAATGCTGGTCAAGCTTTGCCACCGCCAGCGGCTGGCAGCGTGCCCCTGCAGCAGCTACCCGCTGGCGTTGGTGTCACGCGGCAAGATGTGGATTTACTGATTGCCAATCAGAACATTCTGCTCAGCACCATACGCGAAATACGCCAGCTTGCGGGAGATATCAATGTGCGCACTGATAATATACAAATCAATCAGAAGAACGCGCCCACAGCGCAAATTCAGTCTACGGGCTACGATGTCCAAACGTTGATAGCCGAGATGCGTGATGGCATGAATCAGGTCAAGCAGGGCATCTCGCATGTGGGCCAAAGGTTAGTTGCCCTCAAATCGAATTCTATTTGCACATGTTGCTAAGCTTTTGGTATTTTACAGATTGGGTATGCCACAGGGCTCGGCCCAGGTGGCACCTTGTCCCACCGGAAGCTGCGTGGGTGTCACGTTATTCCTTAGCGTCACCGTTGTGCAACTGCTGCTAGTATTTCTCTACAACATATTCAAGTAAATAGGCCCATAAGATACCCTAGCTGCTTTACCTAAACTGATATTATTGTTATTAATTTGCAGAAATCGCAGCGAGGCGCAAGCGAAAAAGTTCTACTAGGCTTTCGGCTCAGCACGCAAAACGAACACACACACACACCTGATTAGGCGACAACTAAATTTAGTTGAAATGAAATACTGAAGACTTCAGCTTAGATTGCTCTACAATATTGTATAATTGTTTTTTTTTTTACGTAGACCCAATTGATTCAAGCCAGGTCTCCAAAATTGTATGTGACTTAATTTGAAACCGAAACTGAACAAGTAACTAGAACAATGAAGAAGCCTCATGACAAAAGCCACAAGACAAATTTCTTGCAGTCCTAGTTCACTAGTAGATCCCATACCCCCATTACATATATATATATATTGTGTTTGTAACCTATCTGTTTTAGCCAAGTCTAAAGTTTCGGTCTACTCTCAAAACTGTGCATATCAGTGTGTACAGCCGTGAACTCTGCATTTCAATATAAAAAAAAAAGAAAACAAAACATAAACAAATAAAATAAAATAAAAAATGTAAAACCGTAATGAAAGTAATAATAATACATAATGAATTCCGTAAATTTAGCAAATAAACAAATACTTTATGTTTTTTATACGTTACTCGAGCTAAAGCATTTGAGTCTTGTGACAAAAAAAAACAAGTTTGGCAGCTTTTGTTATTAGCACGAAACTTAATTAATGCGTTGAATTTATCACACTTTGACGTTTTTTATACTGAATATTATATAATTATTATAAATTATAGATGAAATGAGAAACGGTGTCTTTTACAAGTTCCATTCCAGTCTCCATGTTTAAAGTAAAAATAAAAAAACAATGTGTAGAAAGCGAAACGATATATCAAGAGAATTGTATAATAAGAAGAAAACGTAAAGCTAAACGTAAAACTAAAAATATTATTAATTTTCATGTTAAGTGCTAGAGTATAAAAATGCTAGTGTATCTCTTAAGGAAAAACAGGAAAAATCAACGTTTCCAACGACAATGCGGCAAAAATGGCGCCACTTTGGCGACATTGCAGCCCAGCAGAGGGGAGGACAGCAAAACTTTGCCCATAAAATCTAACTGCCATTGGTGGTATTGTGGACAGGCCCGGCTGAGGCTTTAGGTTCAATCCAACCGAGCGAACAAAAACCCCAGCCAAAAGATAAATGGACAGAAGCCAACAGCAGTCGCTCCAAAGTTATAAATATTGTTTTTGGCCCGCCTCGGGTTTGGGTGCGAGTCTGGTTGGATGCTGGCTGGATGCTGCGGCTGTCGGGTAAGTATATAGCCATCGCGCTTATATAAGACCTGCGCACACTATGTACACGCCAGAGGCGGACATTGCGCAGGACCAGTAAAACGTGCTCTGCCTCGGAGGCAGGGGGGCCGCGCACGTCTGGCTATTGTGTTCTTATAACAGCCAATCGGCGTCGGGCAAACAGGCGTACAAAATGGCCACGTTTTGTTCCGACTGCAACCCAAAACAGTTCCACAATTTAACACCCATTTTAATAGTAGAACTATTGTTCTACAACTGTTGGAAATGCATTAAATTAACTATTATTTGCTATTTTTATTAGTTAGTTAAAGGCTTTTAAATTTTTAATATTTAAATAGCACTGGCTAATATAATAATACATAGAATTTGGCTTTGCGCTTTTAAATATTTAATATTCAAATAGCACTGGCTGAGATCATTCTGCAGGGGATATAGTTAAATGGTTTTAAATTTACAATATTTAAATGGCACTGACTAAGATAATACCATATCCGGCAATTTCAAGCCGGATTCTTGTCTTTAAATGAAGCTTAGCTTCTAATTTTTGATATATTCATTAAAGCCGATTTTCATTCCGATTTTCATAAATTGATTGAACTAGATCTGAATTGATTCTCCATTTAAATTCAAACAACTTTTTTAATTTCCTTAAAAAAACTTATGCCAAGAATCGAATATTTTCTAAGTTACTAAATTGTATAATCTAGTAGCATCTTTCTAGATTACAAACTTCTTTGACTTAAATGAAATTATTTTGTATAAGGTACATCATATTGGCCTCCTCTTGACTTCGAGCTCCATTCTATACTCTGTAGTACTTCGAAGACCTTGTTAAAACTAAGCCAATTATGTATATTTTTGGCCAGGTCGTGGACTTTAGATTGTTTCTGCATTTAAATAGGGAAACGAAATTGTTTATAATTTCCTTATCAAAACTCATGCCAACAAATATTGAAATCCCGCGTTCATAGTACATAGTTTCTACTAGAAACTTTCTAGTTTACAAACTTTTTTAACTTTTGGCTTAAGTGCAACGATTTTGATAGGGCGTAGCCTTTGACCTCCTTTTGACTACCATATCTGCAACAAAATGTTCCTGCCAAATATGCATTCCAAAAATGTTAGACTAAAGAAATATCCTGTCTATAATAAGTGCCTTAGCCAAGTTGTCAGCTTCCATAACCCTGTCAAAACTGATTCGGGTTTCAAAGAGGATGTCTTAATCTCTAGATTGATTCTGAATTTTAATTGTAAAACTAACTCTTTGTTGCATTTTTCTATCAAAATTTATGAGATATATTTAGAACTACAGAAATCCAAGTGTGGTAGTAAATGTTTATCCCCGACTTCGAACTTACATAACTTTGGCATTATTAGACTGATTTTCTTAAGAGATAACTTTTTGTTTTGGTCAGGTTAGATTGATTCTATAACTTTGTCAAAACTGATTTCATTTTCATGATAAATACCATGCTGGTCTCTAGATTGATTTAATTGTTTGTGGTTGGGGGCTACCCCTAATCCATTTTGAGCTATCTATTCTAGTCTAGTCTATCTGTCTAGTCTATCCTATCGAGTTCCTTTCTTTACATCATTTCAATAGCATTGCTTTAAATTATGAATATTTTGTAGTTCTCGATAACTTTAATAATCCACAGGGCATATTTGCACATCTGTGGAGTTTTTCGCTTACCGCAATCCATTAGTAAATGAAATTCATAAATCCCCAGCACCCAGCGACGACAGTTTAGCAACATTTGCCAAACATTTGCAAACAAAAAAAAAAGAAGAGGATATAAAATCAAATTCAAAGTTATTGCAATGTAGCCGGGTGGATGGTTTCGCTAAATGGATGCTGAGTGATTCTCCTGCATGCTCGCCACATCCTGCATCCTTTGCGTGACAAATGTTGCGCAAACAACAAATGGATAACATTGCGAATGGGATATGGCCAGTTCCAGTTAACGCAGCTTCAATCTGTGGTAATGAATCATAAATTTCCATAACTGTCAAACGATCCCAGCGGCATCTCCAAAGACGGGGAGATTCTGGATAAAACATTGTTGCAATTTGTAAAAGGGATTTGGTTTTGTAATTAGCTAATAACTTGTTGGGTTAAGCGTTAGCTGTTTCTTTTAATAATAACGGTGGAAGTTAACCAAATTTAGCATAAATTAATTAGTAGAAAACAAGTCGAGAAGTATTAACATTAACATTTAACTTCTATTCTTAAAGATACGGAAATATTAATGAAAATGGATTGGAAACCAAAAAAGGAAATACCAAAAACTTCATCAGTTTGCGGACGGGATTACCAGCTATAAACTAAAACTTCGATTCCCTAGTGATTCCCAAATTAAATTGCAAAGAGTACGATAAGGATTTGGGAACATAAGCACGACATAAACTCTTGGGGGCATATATGGACAGGCTTTCCGTAAGTAAGATCCTTGTTATAGAAGACGGAGATCGGTAAGTTTCCTTATACCCAGTGTACCTTACATAACCTTAATTTGCATATGTACATAACCTCAAAGTGCATTCACTTTTATTTCGTACATAACCTCACATTATGTAATAAGTAATGTACTTTTACGATATTCTAAAAACTTGAAATCTTAAACATGCAATCTGTCACACTCTATATTAAGTGAAGCTTTAGGAAAACCCCGGGAAAACGCGAGATACATAACCTCACATTACATTTTTCAGTGTGGAGTAATTAGCAATTAACTTTTTTCGATATTTTAGCAAGTTTTCGTTGACCAACAGCCTTTTAGCTGCGTAGTAGTTCATTTAAATCTTAATCAAGCAATCTCCCACACTCTAAGTGAGGCGTTGGGAAAACCCCGGGAAAACCCGTCAGATGTTTAATGTTGCTCATGCCATTAGCTCGACGGCAAGTCAATGACAAAGGATAGCCCATTAGATATGTGAAAAGACAGACAATGTGAACGGAGGAAAAGTGCGACTGTAACCACCCTTTGTGATTTTTGCGAAAAACCAGAACAAAACTCGAAACTGGATAATATTTTGCGCTTTTTGGTATGACGAATCCACATGTCACACATTTTGCCGAATGAGTCGAATTGCCAGCCAGCCGGGCCAAGTGCCTGCCCCAGCTCCTGCTCCTGCTCCGGCTCTCACATCCGTTTAGTGGGCAATCAAGCGTGTAGTGCAATTCAATAAGCGGATGGCGGCTGGCGGCGACGGCGACGGCGACGGCGACGGCGACGGCGGTTCGACTTGAAGAACTTTATCAACACCCATGTCGGCATTAGTTTTGTTTACAAACTTTTCCCGTTGCCTTTTTGACAGCCAGCGGCAGCGACAAGCGCTCGCCCGGGGTGGGCCCGGACCCGGCTCTGGGCTGGGCTGGGGTGCAATGCAGTTGGCCAGCAGAGGGGTTGGGGGTAGCTTGCTTGACGGCATTTTTATTTATGAGCACTTAAATCGAAGCGCAAACTAAAATTGCACATTCGCATCTACATAAATATGCAATTGCGGGCATGTGAAAATGTTTCGCAGCGCCAGGGCCAGGGACTCCGGCTGATAAATGATGAAAAAATTAAGAATAAATACGAGCCAGCTCGCCCTCAACCCGGACGCACAATTTTAGATGACAGCTCCCGATAATGCCGACATCAATTTGAAACTCAATTGAGCTTGGGTTCGAGTTGTTGTTCTTGTTGTTGTTGTTGTTGTTACAAGTTGTTATTCCTTGATAAATGCTGCGCTATCAGCGTCGTTTATCGTCGAGGGCCTTTTGACTGGGTGCGACAAGTCAGCGAATTGGAAACTGTCCTGTCAGCCCAACACACCCACCCCCCATCCTCAAGGTAATGTGGCTTTTGCCTTCCGCTGCGCCCATGTGCCCCGTTGTCTCGGCTCATCTCTGGGGCGTTGCGAGCAGTTACATGTTAAATGCTTGCTTAATTGCTGTTTAGTCTCTTGGTTAGGCCCCGAACGCACTGATTAATGACCCACAGATATATAAAACCCATTTACATTCTATATATACAAAATGCTAGAGCAGACTTGGCTGCAAATTAAAACTGGTCAGACTCTGCTAGATCAGGAGATACCCTTCCACATAGCCTTCACTTTTTATGGTCCAATCTTTGTGAACGATTTGTCTTTATATACTTAAGCGCAAGGCTTTACCTTTAAAAACAAGCTATTTCCCAATTTTGGAGGGAGTTGGGGGAACGTATTCAAAAAGTAAAATATCATTAATTTATACATGATATAGAAGATCCT